AGAAAAAAAATTACCAAATACCCACCTGTCAACAGTACTGAGTTAAGTTGCCAAGTAGTACAGCAGTCCTATTTTCTTCATTTTTTTTTTTGCTTTTCTTTTAGCTTTCTCTTTTACTATTTTGTTATTTTGTATATATATTGAGTTAATTGTAAAGTCTAAATCCCGTGATAACATATCTTGGTTAGCAAGTCAGTTTATCAGTTAGGAAGAATATATAACAGAAATAGGTGGGTGCCACCTCGAACACAAATTCGAATTTTCCTTCAGGTTTGACTTTTGTTTTTGTTTTTCTTTTTATACTTAAATTACCATGGTCAGGTTTTTAAGTTAAGATGTGTGTTACCAGAAAGGAGACAAACTGAGTCACTAATTAGCACTTATATGGAGATATAAAAATTCTGTGTGAAGGTAAATTAGAAGTTTTTCTCTTTTTTTTTTTTTTTTTTTTTTGTGAGAGGGAGAACATAAAAATGAAGCCATCTCTGTCCCAAACCTCTCCCACCCATGGGTCGGGAGAAGGGGTAGTCATCAGAGGACTTAAACAGAGAATCAAGAAGTTAGAGGAAATGGTTACCAGCCTTGATGAAAAAATTCGGAATATGGATGGAGAAATGAAAGAGAATGAAACACTCAGAGAACAAATAAGATCTTTGGAGGAAGCAAATAAAGCACAAGGGCAGGAGAGAAAGGAACTAGAAAAAAGAATAAAGAAGCTGGAAGGGGAAAAGAGTCAACTAGAATCTAGAATTTCTAAACAAGAAGATAAAAACAACCAGCTAAATGACAACCTAAAGGAATTAGATGTTAGTTCACTGCTCTCTTCTGAGAGAGACGAGATTGCTGCTTGGAATGTTCAGATTAAGGAAAACATTGAACAGTTCAGAAAAGAGTTCCAGGAGCTGAATATGGAAAATGATGCCATGAAAACGTCCTTTGCTGATGCACTAAAGGGGAATGTGGCAGTAAAAGAGGCTGTAAAGGTGGTGGCACTGGAAAACATACAAACAGTTGACTATAAAGAGACAGTAATCGAAAAAATGAAAGACGTTGTGATGGAAAGGGCAAACCCACTCATCAGACAGGCACTTGATAAGGAGAAGACAGTGGTAATCTCAGGCATAAGTGAATCCCAGGAGCCAACATGGCAGGGGAGACTTGAAGAAAATAAAGCTAACGTTGTAGACCTGATAAGAAAGCTTGGAGTAGTATGTGGTCCTGAGGATATTGTAAACATACACCAACTAGGTAAATATTCGAGGGAAGGAAAGCCGAGACAAACAAAAGTAACCTTTGAGAGAGGGGAGACATGTAGGGAAATATTGTTGAGAAAAAAAAGTCTAAAAGACCTTCAAGAATGCAAAGAAGTGTTCATTAGACGATACAGAACACAGGAAGAGATGGGAAAGATCAAAAACTTGTTGCAAGAGGCAAGAAGGTTAAATGATGAAAGAAATGAAGAAGAGAAGAAAAATTTTCGTTACAGAATACTTCCAGACAAAGGGGAGATAAAGAAGATAATGACAGAAGATCAGGGGATGGGGCCTCATTAAGATTGTTATACACAAATGCTGATGGATTAGCTGGTAAGGCAGTAGAATTAAAAGATAGGATTCACAACAGTAAGGCAGATATAGTAGCAATTACAGAGACTAAGTTGAGTGAGGACATAAACAGTGTCACAGTTTTTCCTAAGGGCTTCAGAATACTAAGGGTCGAAAGATCTGAGAGGACTGGTGGAGGGATAGCACTGCTCATAAGTGAGAGGATTCAAGTTGAAGAAATAAACTTGGCTATAGAAAGTGAGTTCAGGGAATTTCTTGTTGCTCGCATAAATACTGGGTCAGAGAGCATTATAATAACTGTTGCATACAACCCACCAAGGAACCAAAATAGGCTTGAAATTTATGAGGAAAGTCATATAGGTACGATTGAAGTCATAAACTCAGTTGTTAACATGGCGCGGGAGAAAAAATGTAGGATTTTGATTATGGGAGACTTTAATCATAAAGAGATAGATTGGATAAATCTTGACCCACACAGTGGTGAGGACTCATTCGGGGCAAGATTCCTAGATTGCGTACAAGGGAATTTCCTACACCAACATGTAATGGAACCAACAAGAGCCAGGGGTGGGGATGAGCCATCACTACTTGATCTGGTGTTCACAGATAATGTGTTGGATATTGAAAATATTGAGTATGAACCACCAATTGGAAAGAGTGACCACTGTGTGTTGTTGATGGAGTATATCATTGAAGACATTCTTCCTGAGAGTAGAGGCACTGAGGACATGAGGAGGAACTATCCGAAAGGAGATTATATCAAAATGAATGAGCTTTTTGCAGTTATTGACTGGAGAACCTTATTTTACAACAAATCTGTACAAGAAATGTATGACATCTTTTGTGAGAAATATGGGAAGATAGTAGATTGCTGCATACCTGTCACCAAAGTAGGTGTAATTCATGCCAGAGAGAAATGGTTCGATAATGGGTGTAAAAGAGCTAAGGAGTGGAGAGACAAATGCTGGAAAAGGTATAGGAGGAGAAAAAACATAAATGCCTGGCAAACCTACAAAAGAGCAAGAAATGACTACCTAAGTAAAAGGAGAGAGGCAGAGAGAGATTATGAGAGGGACATCACCAGGAAGGCTAAAGAAAATCCCAAGCTTTTCCACAGCTTTATCAGAGGAAAACTGAAGGCAAAAGAACAGGTTTTAAGGCTAAAGAGAGAGGATGGAAGCATCACTGAGACGGACGAAGAGATCTGCAAAGAATTGAACAAGGAGTTTCAGTCAGTATTTACAGTAGAAAATACCCCACCCCCTCAGATTGCAGTGATAGAAGCTCAAGGGCCGGTATTAGAGAACATCAACCTTACAGCCACAGAGGTATGCAAAGCGCTGATGGATTTAGATGTTCATAAAGCTACAGGTCCTGATGACATATCCCCTCATGTGCTTAAAAAATGCGCAAACACAATATCAGTGGCACTAAGTATCATATTTAAGGAGTCACTGGAGTCTGGGGAGATTCCAAGATGCTGGAAACAAGCAAATGTGATACCTATCTTCAAAAAGGGAAGGAGGGATACGGCTCTGAACTATAGACCAGTTTCCTTGACCAGCATAGTTTGCAAACTTATGGAGAAACTACTAAGGAAACATATCTCTCTTCACTTGGAATCCTTCAACTTTTTGTCAGTGAGGCAACATGGCTTCAGAGAAGGAAGATCAACAGTAACAAACTTATTAGAATTTTATGATGAGGTAAGCCAAATCTTACAGGAAAGAGAGGGCTGGGCAGATTGCATATTCCTAGACTTCCAGAAAGCGTTTGACACTGTTCCACATGGGAGACTTATTAGGAAGCTGCAATCAATGGCTAGAATAGGTGGAAATGTCTTGGAATGGATAAAAACTTACTTAGAAGGAAGGGAACAGAGGGTTAGAGTAAGACACTCAGTGTCTGAATGGAGAAGAGTTAGTAGTGGAGTTCCACAGGGTTCAGTTTTAGGGCCACTTTTGTTCCTTGTATATGTAAATGACCTACCAGAGTGTGTAAATTCATTCATGAATATGTTTGCAGATGATGCAAAGATTGTGAAGAAAGTAAAAAACGAGAACAATGGTAGAGAACTTCAGGAGGATCTAAATAATCTGCATGAGTGGTCAGAAAAGTGGCTAATGAAATTCAATACCTCAAAATGTAAGGTAATGAGAATGGGTACAAGTGCAAGAAGGCCCAAGCTTGACTACTCGGTGGCTGGAGTACAACTTCAAGAGACAGAAAATGAGAGAGATCTAGGAGTAAACATACTGGCAGATTTGTCTCCAGAAATACATATAAATGGCTTAGTAAGGGCAGCATATGCATTCTTATCAAATGTAAGGGTAGCCTTCAGGCACATGGACAAGGAAATGTTCAGAAATATTTATGTAACCTACGTGAGGCCAAAACTCGAATATGCAGCCCCCTTTTGGAATCCGCACTTGAAAAAGCACATAGCTAAGCTTGAAAAAGTTCAAAGACATGCCACGAAACTGGTGCCAGAAATACGCAATCTCGGTTATGATGAGAGGCTGAGGGAATTAGACTTGCCATCACTCGAAGCTAGAAGAGTAAGGGGGGATATGGTGACAGTCTTTAAATTCCTTCATGGTTATGATAGAGTGGATAGGGATCGATATTTCGATATGGCTGGCTCTAGAACTAGAGGTCATAGTTTGAAGCTTCGTAAGAAAACTTGTTTGCAGGATGTAAGGAAATACTTTTTCAGTGTAAGAGTAGTTGAAAATTGGAATTCGCTAAGCGAGGAGGTAGTTAATGCTATCTCAATCCATAGTTTTAAAGACAGGTATGATAAGTATCACTAAGTCTAAAAATGGAACCGATGAGGAGACGGGAAGATACGAGCTTTGGGCTATTTCCCGTAAACACAATTAGGTAATCACAATTAGGTAATCACACACACACACACCTATATATATATATATATATATATATATATATATATATATATATATATATATATATATATATATATATATATATATATATATATATATATATATATATATATATATACAATTACTTAGCATAGTAATTATATGTATTAGGTTCAAGTACCAGTCGGGTTAAAAATTATTTACTTAAGAATGAACGCATTTTAAGTGAATGCCACTATGCATAGCAGATATAAGCTCTAATGTCTGTCTCCTTTTAACCTTCTGTGGTGTAGTTGGTAGCGCATTGGCTAAGTAATTATAAATCCTAGGTTCAAGTCCAGGTCGGGGTAAAAATGATTACTGTTTTCACATAAGTAATATGTTTTTTGGTTATTCTTGGTCCCTAATGAGATTGGGAGTCGAATTAAATGCGAAAACGAAACCACGAGTGACGTTGGGGAAACTGTAATATGATCATAGTGGCCTTCAGTTAGAATGCATTAATTCTTATGAATAGCAGATATAAGGTATAAGGTCTATTTCCTTTTAACCTTCTGTGGTGTAGTTG